ATTTTGACGATCGGCCCAGTAGTTTCGGAGTTAAGAGGGGGCTATGAATAGCCCCCCCCCCCCCAGTGGGGCGTGTTATACATAAACCCCAGTGGGGCGCGGGTTAACATTCCGCTTACGACATTTATATGATGGGCATGCCTTCTGGAAGAGGTTATGGAGCATAATCTCAGTCTACCTACTTTTGTCGGCTCCTCAATATGTAAATACAAACAATGCCTATCCATAATGTATAGGCTCGCAGCTCAGGAGGGCCCAGTGACTCACCAGTGACGTCACTAGTATGTCGTGCCGCCGAGGATGACGTCACTCGTGGTTGCGTGCCGCCGTGATATAGAGGAGGCGGTCCCGGTGCCGGTGCGGCGCTGACCGGCGGCGGTCGGCCGTTCCCCGTATTACCACGGAAGGTATCATCATCGCGGGCGACGAGAGACGAGCGAGGGGCTGGCTAGGGTGTGGGACGAAGGGATGAGGTGGGAGAGATGAATGAATGGGCCGGAGCGAGAGAGATGTAAGGCTGGGGCGCGGGAACCTCCATAAGCTTCTCTCTCTCTCTCTCTCTCTCTCTCTCTCTCTCTCTCTCTCTCTCTCTCTCTCTCTCTCTCTCTCTCTCTCTCTCTCTCTCTCTCTCTCTCTCTCTCTCTCTCTCTCTCTCTCTCACACACCTCAGAAGGGGCTAGGAAGAAAGGAGCCTATGCAAGGCTAGAGGGTAGGAACAGAGTACAGGCAGAGATGGTCCGGATGAGGCTAGCTGAGGCGGGAGGAACAAAAAGAAGGGCTGGGAAGGAAAGGCAGAGGGACGCATAGGCGGCGGAACGGGGAGGGCACCGGGGCACCGTGCCCCCTTTGATTTTGGCATTTTAACATAGGGCGTTGCATTGGAAAGAATCGGACCAAAAGTCGGCGATGCCCCCCCCCCTTAATTGAAGGTGTTCCGCCGCTACTGGAGGGGCGAGCATGGACAAGACTTGAGAGACGGATGGGATGAACTGCCACCTTAGCACCGTCATCATCTTCGTCCAGGGCGTTGTAAGTCCCGGTATTTAATTTGTCAGTGCGGTCTTTGCGTCTCTGGGGATGCATGTTCTGTGTGGCTGCTCGAGCTACCCAGGCCTCCTAATGAAGGACTTCACCTGTACGGCACGGGACGCAGTGATAATTGTTTCCAAACGGACGGTGTCTTATGCGAGATGTGGCGTTCATTCAAGGCTCTGTGGTTTTCCTCCTCTTACATGGGACGTTCCGATTACACATAGACGGGGGCACGTAGGTTCACCTACACATATTCAACTGCGCAGAAACTCGATGCAAACAAGCTCCAAGCTTTATTTATTCGGTTGCAAAACGCTGGCTCGCTCGTGTTGGTGCATCCTACTCAAAAGCCGTGCATTCAAAGCTCGTGATAGCTCTATGGTTACGTCACAGCGAGGACACCAAGCTGACAGATTAGCTGCACAGTTGGCACCTCGCTGGAGCCCCGCGTTTGTCCCCGGTGGCACTCGCTGGTCGATCACGTCATGCTGCAGCTAACTCCGGGAACCGGCTGACCTGAATTGGAAATGCGGATTGTGTCTATGACTGAGCTGCACAGTGTGCAGGTGTATGGTTTCCAATAACGTCACAGGGTTAACCATGCGGTAATCGATCGTAATGGCATTCAACAGCGGATGTGGCGAACAATTTTAGAAACGTCTAATAGAAATGATGCTAAGACGGACCTTTAAGTGGTTTTATGATCAAGCTGTATCTTTTTAAGTAAAGTTTTAATTTGTTTCTACGGTTGAATGATATGAGAAAGCGCTATTTGGAGGCCAGGGATACTTAGCATATTACTGAAAAACCTTATCCGTTTGATTTTGTATCGTACTTTAAAATATATTCGTTATTAATCAGAGGCTTTGCTTTCCTTTCATCATTATACTAATTGCAAGTAAATGCCGGGCACTAATTGCTACTGATTGCTTCCACGCGGCAACGACATCACCCATCGAAAACGTATGTATCATACCAATGCTTGCTCATGACATAATGCAGAATTTTAATGGAATAGCCGTGCATTTGAACTTGCATTTCTCGACAACAAGCTGAGCTCTCTAATGGAACATTTTGTTCGTTTAGGTCGTTTCGGTCTAAATGGTGTGACCAATCAGGATTCAGGACCATGCGATAGAGGTCCGAAATAAGACTTTCTGCTGAATCAACCATCCGATCGGTGTGCCGCAGTGTCTAACGCTGAACCCAAGGGAGGTCACCATATACTCAAACGGCTCCTAGATGCACCTGTGGAATATGGCTTCGGACATTTGGGTGGCGTTATCGTCAGGCTTGAGTAGGAACTAGAAAGAATGGTCAAGGGCGAGGTTGTGTAAGTTTTTGATAGAGGAAAAGTCAGGAGGTTGCCTTACAGCTAATTTTAAGGTCATGTGCTTGTCCATCATGGGCGTCGCCACCACTACGGACACTACGGACAGTGTCCGTACAAGTTTTGGAAGGCCCGGAAACTTGTACGGAATGTCCGTACAAGTTTCGTCGACCGCAAAAATGCAGTCTTCGCACATGTTTGAAGCAGGTTAAAGCTTATCAGACCCCCTATTTGTGGTTAAAGTTACGATCCAAGGCCGCCCCAAAGTCAATGTCACGCAAGAGTAGGTATAGGTATAGGGTGTGACGAAATTATTCGGACATCTTTTTTATTAGAACTCAGCCCGGCCGCGAACGCTAAAGTGGTTAGGAGAGTTGTCAAGATAGCGACAAGGAAACGACAACAATCAATCTGCAGATTGACTTGTATTCTTGGCAAGGCAGATAATAAGAAGGCCCACATCATGGCCCACCACTATCCACCCCTTAACTTGGTTCTTCTGCCCATCAAACTGAAAAAGACAACGCAATGGACGGGAAAATAGCTAGTGCACCACCTTTGGCCTCACACCAAGACACATCCACTGCACTGGTCGAAGGAAGACATGAGCGTTTGGTGGAGTGGGCAGCTATTCGCGCTGTATTGTCCTTTGAGCCGTCAAAGCGGCCTTGTGTTGGCTGCCAGTAACTCAAACGTGCCGGCCGTCACCGGCGTCAAACATCCGGCCAAGATCCAGGTCCGACCTGGATCTTGGCCGGATTCCAGGCTGGAACATGTTCAGCTTATGTGCGATGTTCCAGCTGTGCATTGTGTCACAGAAGACCACCTTCAGTGACGATTATTACCGAAGCAGCATCCTGGCAAACATTGGAGCCGCTCAACCGGACGGCACGGGAGGGCTCGATTTCTAAAAGCGCACTGATGTTTGATTCAAGCCACGCTGCCTTCGTGCAGGCTGGAGCGCTACATTAAGTCCGTAGGAGAATGAGAAGTGACGCCGAGAGAAGCTCTTATCCTTTTGAACTAACGGGCTACGACTTGGAAATAGTTGTCATCCTGATTTCATAGAGATCTTAAGGATTTTTGTCCAGCGGGAGGTGAATAAGGGGACACCCGGCACTGCAGGACCGCCCAACTGTATGTGAGCACATGCTAATACGGCGTCTGTCCACATCAAACCTACTGCTTGAAAACCCAGTAGCTGGAATGTTCCAGGGATTTTTAATTATGATTTTATGAAAGCTGGCGATATCTTCATCAAAAGGAAAACCTCAGGCTGTCTTGTTTCTTAATCGCAGCGGGAAGAAGGTTACCGGATAATTTCGTTACACCCTGTATCCTTCTAAATGCTATTTTACTGATACGTCAGTCATATTACATTTAATCATGTCACTTTTGTCATCCTGAGGCTCTAAATGAATGCTTAGATCAAAAGGAATGACAAAATCGTGGCCAGTGACTTCAAATACAGCAAATGAGACTGATCATGTGTAATGTAAACGTCAACCAAAGGCCATTCGAGGTCACATGAGGTCAACATAAAACTTGACCTTTTCAAACAACCTACATATATGTCATTCGACGCGTCTTGACATGACGAATGCGTTGGTACCACTGCTTTAGGTCTAGGACCTTTTTTGGTGAAGAAATCTGCAAAAAAAAAGCCGCAGCTCGGGGTCGCTAACCTAACCTTTGACCTAATGTCGCTAACCCTTTGACCTAATGTAGGTTGGTATCAAAAATGTGTTTGTATTTTTTCCCGAAACCACTAGGCATTCGGGGCTATCGCAACTATTCGTCCGAGGTGTGTGTGGGGGGGGGGGGGGGAGGGGAGGACGAAAAACACCCTCCCTGGGTCCGCGTGGGTTAACACATCTGACGAGCATTACGGCTGACAGAATGTGTCCGTACAAGTTGGGGACCCGTGGCGACGCCCCTGTTGTCCATGACCTGGAATCTGAGCAGTTTGACTTCCGATAGAGCTCAAAGGTATCTCACGTTTCTATGAAAATAGACATATGAAATTTCCTTATACGATTCACAGCTCAAACTCTAGGGAGCACGATGCTATCTTGGCCGGAAGTGCATAGCTATTACGCCTGAGCACGTAATTCAGAACCTCTGAATCACGTCTTATTCACACTCCAAGAACTCCGTCGCCGCGTGAAGATGAGACATACCACTCTGGTCTAAGTGAGACACGAACCCAGTCTGGCCACGCGGCTCGCTCTCCCATTGTCCCGTGTCGGATCGTCAGCAGAGTCGCCCTAGGGAGGGTCACCGACCTCTCCCCGTCTCCCCCAACTGTCTGACCGGACTGTGCGCGCTGACCGGACGCTGTTCAGCGCGCATTAGCATCGTGTGCAGCGGCGGGGCGGTGCAGGTAGTGCGAGGAGCAGAGCGGGGCGGGGCGGGTAGGGAGCTCAGCAGAGCGGGCGGGCCGGCGCAGGTGCTCGCCGGGGCTTGCCGTCGCTGCCGGGACATCCCGCCGCCGCCGCCGCCTCCGCCCGAACCTGACCGGTTCGGCGCCGACCGCTATATAGGCGGCCGATGACGCGGCCAGCCACAGTCGAACCGGAGAGGCGCGCGCAGGCAGACCAGTTGGGAGTCGACAGACTCAGCTACTGAGGACTCACAGGAGAGGAAGAGCTAGCAGCTGGAGTAGCCTGACTGAACGAACTCACAGTCAATCGGAGTGCTCTCGGCATATTTTGCAACCGGATAAAAATAGGAAAAAGAAACAGAAAAGGCTGAAAAACCGACCGGGCTTCTGTAATCACTTGCCGAGCACTGACGCTGCATCGATCGTCTGTGCTGTGACTTGTTCGAGAGACGAGAAGCCCTCATCAGCTCTACCATGGCCCATCAGAGTTCATGCTGTTTCGGCCGCGTCAGCCTGCGCACAGGATCGATCATCATCGGCGTGGCGCTGGTGACCGCCTCCGCGGCCGGCGCGGTCGGCTTCCTCTGCGCGCTGCTGTACCTGCTGCTGGAGACGCCGCAGGAGGCGCCGCTGACCCTGGAGGCGGTCGGTGCTCTGCTGGTGCTCAGTGTGCTCCACCTGGTGTTCTCTTCACTGCTGGTGCACGGTGTGCGCCGCGCTCGCCGCTCGCTGCTGCTCACGTGGCTCATCTTCTGTGCCATCCTGGTGATCCTGCAGACCATGGCCATCGTGGTGGCCGCCTCCCTGGCCGGCATGAAGGGCACCACGGGCGCGCACTGCTCCGTGCTGGCCATCGGCGGCACGTGGACCGCTCTGCTCGCCTACTGCTTCATGATCGTGCTGTATCACTCGCTGGAACTGAATGCGCTGGCCACCAAGCAGCTCAACAGCGGCGCGGCCAAGGCCAAGGCTAAGGTAGCGGCAGCGGGCGGTGGCCGCAGCGGCAAGGAGGTGCCAGTGCAGGTGGTGTGATCTCATCGGGGACGAGAGAATCGAGACTTGAGAGCTTCGCTCGGGATAGAGCAAGGAGCTCGACATGTGGATAGTCGGAGGGTAGAGGAGTGTTCTCAGGATACGCCGATCTCACGGCTGTCTCGCTACTTTGGGATTCAGTGTGATATACTTGTCGCGGTCTGATGTTTTGTTATGTTTATGCTACATGTATGCTATGTGGAAGAGGCTATAATACTTTGTGTTGTGTGAGGGACTTTTAGGCATTTCACTTTCAATGTCGTTGCATCGACCATGAGCTATGATGTCAATGCTCAAAATGCTGTATGAAATGCAGTGATAATTTCCGCCAGTCATAGTGATTAAATGTTTATTATAAATACACGTATGTACAGTAGGTCTGGTGGCCTGAACTTTCCGCCGAGTGCTGGGGGGGGGGGGGGGCGTTTTCACGCCCCCCCGTCTAACTCGGCTCCTGGGCCACGTAGCGACACGCGGTAAGCGGCAATCGAAAGAGCGTCAAAAATAAGGACGAAAACACTTCGGTCATTTTTTGGGTCAGGTCAAAGGTTAGGTCACCAGAGGTCACCAAAGGTAAAATGTTGACTATTTCAACATTTTGGAAACTGCCAACGGCTATCTCGGGAACCGATAGAGCTACAGCGCCGCGGAAAAGCGCATTCGATAGCCCTTTTACAGACCTTTCTGAGTAATGTCCTCAGATTTGACCTCAGGTCAACGGTTTAGCCTCCAGAGGGCAAAAACTCCAAAAATAGCCGTTTTTACGAAAAACGTTTTTTCGTCAATAACTTTTGACTCATAAGCGCCATGACATTACTTTTGCCAGCATCGTGTTTCTCTCGTCGAGACGCGTCGAATGAACTATTCGTTGACCTTGAAAGGTCATTTTGAAAATTTGACCTCAGGTCAAGGTCATGACCTGACCGAAAAGGGTCATGTTGCATATCAGTCGATCCGTATCGTCGAGCTGAACACATCTGACGTGTTTTCACCGCTCTAGCACGTCTCTATCAAAAGTTATAGCCAAAAAACTGCTGGCGACCGTTCATGACCTGAGATGACCTCAGGGGCACACAGAGGGGTCACAGGTGCATTTTTCCTATTCATTGTGTCATGTTTACCTATGAACCGATGTTTGAGAGCGTTTTGAACGATATTCGTCCAAAAGAGGCGCATTTCAATTTTCTCCCATTGACTTATAATGGAGAGGTCGCAAAATTGACCTGACCTTAGGTCACAGATATCAAAAATCCGAGATATACATTTTATACATACTGTTACTCATATCAATCGCTGAAAGTTTCAAAGTGATCGTTCAGTCGGTGTAGCTATAGCGAGCCTTTGGACTTTTTCTGAGGTAAGGTCACTTGACGTGACCTGGTGACCTGACCTTGAACGGCCTAGGTCTGAAATTTTCACAACATGTGCGGAAATGATGTAGGAACACGTGTACCAAAAACGGCGGCGCTGTGCGCCGCCGTTTTTGAGATATTTGCGAAAAACCTGAGGGGGGGGCGTAAAAACGCCCCCCCCAGCACGGCGCGGGTTAAAAAAGTCCCCAGCACCAGTGGGCGCTTCCTTCGCTGAGCCGAACCCCCGTCTGCCTGTCCCATATCGCGCCGGGCTCAGGTCAGGTAGGGTCAGCGGGACCGCTCGGTCCGGCCCGCGGGCGGTGGACGGGCGGCCGGTAACGCTTTCCACCAGCCAGCTGTAGAATCCAACAAACGGGACGGCCACCGCTCAGCGCAGCGAAACCGGTGTTAAAGAATGGCAGTAGATGTTCATGGCCACAATGATTATGAGATAGTCATTGTTAGCCCATGCCCCACAGGAATGCCTAGACTCTCACGCCCTGTTGGAGGGGAAATGGGGATTGAGCATCATTCTTATATGTAACTCAGCTTTGGGCATTTAAGCGGTAGGTATTCGAAGTAGCGTCAAAAGTAGCAAAAAGAAAAAATAATACTTCAGCCAATTTTGGATCGGGTCATAACCAGAGGTCATGTCACTAGAGGTCATCGATGGTAAAATTTTGCTTAGACAGGGTGCGTTGCCCGCACCGGTGCATTGGGTTTCCAATTTCCCATGGAAACATCAGCAGACGCGGAAGCTCGCAACAGGGGCGCGGGAACTACTTTCCGACTGGGGGCACACCATAATAGAGATCAACCTAGGGTCCCCCCAAATCTATTTTCTCACCGGTTTTAGGCCACTTATTTTTCATCCCTTGGCTTGTCAATAAAAAAGAAAACATTTGCAAAAAAGTGTGGTATTCCGTCTCAAAGCTGTGGGGGCACCGCCCCCACGGCCCCAGAGTTGGGGGCAGTGGGGGCAAGCTGCCCCCACCGCCCCCCCCCCCCGGCTCCCGCGCCTATGGCTCGCAACGCTAGCGTGGAGCCGAATTCATATCAACTGCCGCAACAATGCAGCAGCGCAGCGCAGCGTGCTGCAGCGCGGGGCCGTGAAACACCGCCCAGGGCTATCCATGTGTCAGGGCAATCCAACCCACGGGATGGGCTCGGCCCCAGCGGAGCATGAGGTCCAGGACTCCCGCCTAGGCCCCCTGTCTCCCCCTAATTCGTATCATCCTTCCCACTCTGAAATCGACCGAAAGAGCCTAACCTAACACAACAATCAGCTCGTTTACCGCTATGTCTGAAATCTGAATAATATTGTCAGATTTAATTAGGGTCAACGGCTTAGCATGTAAATAACAACAACTGCCACCATCGGTATTATGAGAAAACCAATTGCTTTTCCACAAACACTTAAAATTTTTTAGCTTAAACCTTGCATGAAATTAATTTTACCAGCCTCGGGTTCCTCTTATCAAAACGCTTCGAATGAATCAAAAGTTGATCTTTAAAGGTCATTTGAAAAATTTGGCCTATGTTCAAAGACTGACCAGAAATGGTCATAATGCATAGCAGGATATTAGATCCGTACCGTGGAACTTTACAAACACTTCAGAATCTGAAGTCTCAAGTTCAGATGATCTCATAACTTAGGGGAGAGATGTCATATTGCGCCACCTTAAGGATATCGGCCTATTGCGGCTAAAGTTGACCAGCTGTCATGCTTAATGATATCTCAAATTGTAACTCAGTTATTTTGGCATCAAATAACAACTCCCAATTTGTATCACACCCAGAAAAATTAACAAGAGAAAAGTTTTCCGACACACCTGCAAAGGGCGCATTTACGGACTCCCCATCAAAAAGCGCCCATGCCTCCCATGTAAAAGCGCCCTATTAACCCTCGCCCATGTAGGGGGGGGGTTGGTGCAACCCCCCCTGAGGCTTTTCGGAAATAGTGCAAAAACGGCGGCGCGCAGCGCCGCCAAATTTTGGGTACCTTATGGGGCAAACCTTGCGCATCTTTTGCTAAAAAAAAATTTGACCGGGTCATGTCAGGTCACGGAGTTATGACGTCACAAAGGGAACAACCTCCGGCCGGATTTTCACAAACTGAGTGCCAACGCCCGAGGTTTCCTGCCGGTGGTACGGACATCGGTTGATGGATCGTGATGAAACTTCCCATGCATGTTGGGGCAAGTATTGGCTATCATATGGTATAAGAAACTTGACCGGGTCAGGTCAGGTCACGGATCTATGACGTCACAAGAGGAACAGCGTCCGGTACTATTTTTGAAAAGCGCCCGAACCACTATTTTGTTAATTCTTGTCACCTCAATGGGAATATGCAGCAATATTAGCTTCTATAGGGAGCAAATGGACCTCCCAAATCCAAAAATACAATCAGATTTCAAAAATTTAAATTTTGATTTTTCGAATTTCTGCCGCCGACTGTGACCTTGCCGACTTCCGGCGCTCCCAACGCGCCATTTTTAGAGCTAGGGAAACGAAATACATACCAAACGATAGAGCATTGATCAAGGAACACGATAGTGAAGGTTTCAAGTCGATATCTCCCACCGTTTTGCCGCAATCGCCGCCGAAAGTTGAAAAAAGTCTATTTTTCCGAAAATTTGACCTTTGACCGGTCAAAAGTAGGTCAAATATTGACCTAGGACCAAAAAATATACCACCAATCGCGAGATCTCGGCGAGAGCAATCCGTTGGTCTTTTCCGCTAAGCTCTACGACGCTCCGTTTTCAAACGCCAAGGGGGGGGGTCGCACCAACCCCCCCTGCATGGGCGAAGGTGGCAGATCGCCGTTTACGGGCGAGGGTTAAAAACAACGGTTTGCCACCTAAGTAGCCTATTTGAACGTGTCAGCCCATTAACCATTTATGCTGTGAAGGCTAAGGTAATACTAAGGTGAGCGCTCTAATGATCAAAGTGTTCAATGAAATGTCTCCCAACCACCAGATGCTGTTTCTCTGGGTTGAAGAATAGGGCGCAAATAGGGTGGGCGCAATTACGAATGGAACACATTTTCATGAGTTTGAAATATGGCGGCGACAGCGAAGCCACAGTGGTGATAAGCTTTCAAAGCTGGCATTAAACGAACAATTAACAATGATTGATTAGTTGATTAGTTGAATGATTAGTTGAATCACTATCTCTAAGATAAACCATGACACTAGCAAAGGTCGAAATAGATTGTTTCGCGTAAGAAAATGGAGAAAATCACAAAAAATGGTCTGCGAGAAAGCTGAGAGACCTCACCTGCCCCCGTGGACCGGAATAAGAGCGAGTTATTGGTGGTGGAGTAAATGCACACATTCGAGTATTCGTTCGAATCGTATTTTGGGCAGGAGGAAGGTGTGGCGCTTTTAAGAACAGGGCGCAATATGACATCTCTCCCCTAACCCTCGCATGTGTAGGGGGGGGGGGGGTCGGATGGACCCACATGGTTTTTCGCGAAAAACTCGCGTAAAAAGCGGCCGATCGCGACGAAACCGATCGCGCGACGGACCGTCCCGACAGGGCAATCGTCCCACGGGAACAGTCTCGCTTCCGCAGATCACTGTCGCTGGCTCGCACAACCCAATTACTACACCACAGCATAGTTATGTCATAGCTCTGCAAGGGCCTTTTCAGACCGAAAAAGATGGCCCCCAACAAAAAAAAACAATTTTCTCATTCAGTATTGTATCTCATTAACCCTCGCCGGCACAGGCCATTTTGAGTCCTTCGACGGCACAAGGGGGGGGGGGGGGGGGTTGGTACGACCCCCTCGCGTTTGGCCCCTGATCGAGCTAGAGCTTCGCGGAAAAAACGAGCGTGTTGCCCGTCACCAGAGGAAGCCGATGATATCCAATTTTAAGGTCCTAGGTCATCGGGTGACCTTCCAGGTCAGGTCAATGACCCGAAAACCGGGAAAATCGGGACCTGTTAGAAAGTCGTAAAGTGTGGCTGCTATGTGGTTTTCCGGGGTGCTAATCACGAATATCGTGTTAGTTT